CAAGCTACTAGAAAGCAGTATGTCCATCTTTGCAAGACAAAGTTTTTCATATTTAAAGTTCTGAATATGACATATCTTAAAATCACTAGTTGCAATTAATAGGAGATATTTGGTTCTGTTTCATCAACTCAAATCCAAAAAGCTGTTACTAAGTTAATAACAGGGCTTATAGTTTCTGGCAATTTTTAATTATGAATAAAGAGATTATTTTTTTTTTATAAAAAAAAGGAAACAAAGCAATGTTACTGCATGCATTTTCTTGGTAGCAACAGAACTGATTTATTGTAGGGGATACAGAAGCTGCTTGCTGAGAGCCAGGCTGGGCGTATAATTTGCATAGAAGAAGGAGCAGATTGTAGATGCCCTGACCTGTCAAACACAGGTAGGGCCTCAGAGATAATGGGTCCCAGAATACAAAGCTCCATCTTGATCCAGACAGACACACACAACATGGAGAGGCCAGATGGATTAAATGAGAGACACAAACGCTGGCTTCTGCCATCTCTGCAGGAAGAACGTAAGTGCTACAGAAGATGACAGATACCAGATATCACATGGATCCCGCCCCAGTCTCTTGGCCCCCAGTGTAGTGCCTCTGCCATGATTTCAACACTGTGGAGAAGAGGCAAGCCTGTTCAGAGCCATGAAATGCAGTCACTGGGGATGTGCTCGACCCAGTTGACAAGAACAATCAACCATGCCTCTGTGTGCATCTCTCTAGTAAAGACGAAACATACCAGTAGAAAACAAGAGACTGGATCAGTCTGGGACTTTCTGCTCCTCACCAACTGTCCTCCACTACCTGTTAGTAGCTTTTCGACAACAGCCCACTCTCCACGACAGATTTTGCAGGGTGCACTGTGTCCTTGAAGATGTCTGTCTAACCAAAAGACTCCTCAGACAATGGTCCTCTTTTCAGAGCAGTGGTGATTTGGCATTTTAATTTCAACAGGTGACCAGAACTGAATCATAGCACAGAACAAGAACCTTCTGGCCCAGTATCTCACAGAGGGCAAAAAGTGGAGGGCCCGTTGCTGAGGCATAGGACTGAAAAAGTGAGACTGCAAGAGCAGGGTCCAGTGATGGAAAGGGTACAGAGCAGGTGGCAAAAGCCTGAACAGACAAGAAAATAATGACACTTGGGAAAACAGAGGAGGAGCTAATGGAGCCAGCTGGCCTTGCTCACAACCCTGAGGCATAAAAAGCATTTTTGTCTCTCATCATCATGACCACCAGCACTGAGGGCACACTTGGTTATTTGTTTGCTTGTCTGTTTTTTTTTTTAAACCTTTATTTATTTTTATGTGGTTTTGAGGATGGAACCCAGTACCTCACACGTGCGAGGCAAGTGCTCCACCACTGAGCCACAACTGCAGTCCCAGCTTGTGTGTTTTTAAGAAAGTTTGTTAAGATGGTGAAGGTCTTGTACATGCAAGGCCCAGTGTAGGATACAACAGGTATAGTGAAATGTCACTGATAACCTATTACAACATATTGAAAGTCTTTTTCTGTCCCCCACATTTCTTGCACACCAGCAGCAGTTAGCCCAGAGCTTGCTCACTGATTTGACAGACATTCATGAAACCCTCTGATTTGACCAGCCCTGGGCCAGAGATTGCAGGATTATAACAGATCTCACAGAAGGTATGAGGGGTTATCAGGTAAGATATATGTAGGCAAGAAAATGGGTATAGATAATCAGGGAACGTTAAATCTAGAAGCAACCTCAAAAACAATCTAAACTGCCTAAGTAAGAACTGGTTAAATTTTCTCCTAAAAACTGCAAACCACAGATTTTAAAATCTAAAATTTACAAAGAACTCTAATGCATAAAAGCAAACCAAAAGCAACTGTTAGGGCTGGGGTTGTGGCTCAGCAGTAGAGCACTCGCCTAGCATGTGAGAGGTGCTAGGTTAGATCCTCAGCACCACATAAAAGTAAGTAAAAAAAAAAGCAACTGTTAAGGCAGAGGAGAGGTAATGGTAGGTAGTGGGATAAAGCTCAAGGCCTCCTCCACGCCCCCAAATTAGGAAGTACCTCTCCTGACCAGAGATCACATCACACAGTTTGAAAATCAGTGACCTTGTTGTCCAAATCTTCGGTTTTACAAATGAGGAAATTAAAGCTCAAGGGTTTAAGTAGTTTGACCCAAATCTCAACCTTTTTAGGAGACTGTAGACTAGCATAGGATTCCTCTTTGAAATTCCTCATTCCACCTATTAATATATCAACATTATTAGCTGTAAATGAAATTTATAATAGTTGCTTTTTGCTTGCCATATCTAAACAGCAGCAGACTGATCTGAGAATTAATATTAACGACAGGACTTGTGAAAAATATAGTATTTTGTGGCGTGTTTTAGAGCATCTGCCACAGGTGTTTTTCTAGTTCTTATCCAGAAGTGCATGTTTGTCTATTTCCTCTTTGGTTTTTCATTTGGAGATAAGTAAATGAATGTTATTTCCATTAAGAATATGTTATTTAATCAAGGTGTGGCGGAGCACACCTGTAATTCTGGCAACTCAGAAGCCAGAGGCAGGAGAATCACAAGTTTAAGGCTAACCTCAGCAACCTAGTAGGCTCTAAGCAACTACAGAGGCCCTGTCTTAGAACAAAAAAAATTGAAAATGGATGTAGATGCGGCTTGGTAGTTAAATAACCCTGAATTCAATCCCCATGATAAAAAAACAAAACAAATGCTATTTAGCATTTTAAAAGAAAAGTATATATGCTGATAAAAGCAGTTGTCCATCTTAGTGGAAAACTCTGGAAGCTGTCCCTGTAGAATGAAGAACTGCTTTGCATGAATATCCTCCAAAGGTTCATTTATTAATGGCATGGTCCCCAAGGTGGTGCTATTGGGAGGTAGTAGAACCTTTGAGATATGGGACTGTATGAGGGTGTGCCATCAAGGGCAATTGTGAACTAATCTCTTGGTATCTTTCAGCTTCAACAATCGTGATGTGAGCAGTTTGCTCCACTACACACTCCCCACCATTGACTTGCAGCATCCTCACCAGAGGCTCACAGCACTAGGGCTACCTAATCTCAGACTGAAACCTCCAAAAATGAGAATTACATGACCCTTTTCTTTGTATGAGTTAAATGCATCAGGTGTTTCATCACAGTAATATGAAGCTGGCTAACACCAAAATGTAGCATGTATTCAATCTCCTATTTAAAATGAGTGACTTAGGAGAAAACTGAACTTTATTAGGGATCTTAAATAACATTTTAGTCAGAACAAGAAAAAAGTTCAAAACCACATAAACTATACATGCTAAAATATAGCCAAAGTACTATATTTTTTATTAAGTTTAAACCCAGAAAAGACAAGTAAAATCTTTAAGTGTCAAGTAATACAGATTAATATGGCAAGAAATCATTAGAAAAAGAGAAAACTCAACAGGGTCAAAAGCTCTTATGACTCAGGATCTTGGAGACCAGAATTGGCAGCTAAAATAGTAAATATGTTCTTCATTTGGCAAGAATAGGCAGCATATATATGAAACCATTGGCTGATTATATTGAAAAAAAATGTCCAGATTTAGATGAAGAATTAGGCAGAGGTGGGGGAAAATGCAGCAATCCTTTTCCTAAGTTTTATTTGCATGTAACAGTATGGCAGAAATATTCATCTTCCCAAACACTTTGTATGTTACAGGCAAAATTATATAATTTTACTTTCAATCTCCTAAGAATGTGTTCTTTTTAATTTAAAATTCTTTTTCCCCACTACAGTCTTACTTGGACATGTGTGATAAGAAATGGTTTACACAAATGTTAAAAAGAAAGTGATTTACAATCCATAAAAATTATCTCTTACTCTCTGGAATACTTTTGGGCTTCAGGGCCTCCAACTTTTCTCTAAGAAAGAGTTAGATGGATAAAATCACATTTAACTTTAAGAAAAGTGAAATGTAAATTATTAGTATGAACAATATCAATTAATCAATAACTTTTACCGTTAAAAATGTCTAAGACCTTTCCCTTCTAAGTAAATACATTAGTAGAGTTAACCCATCACTTTAAATGAAATGGTTATGTTTTTAAAATAAACGTTGAAGGATAAGTATAACTTGCATGAAACATTTAAAAAAAAATAAGCATTTTTTTTTTCCTCAGTAGAAAACCATCTCAATCAACTTGGCTTAAACTATCTTGTCATTTGGAAATACAAACACATATACAAATAAATTTTGCTAGTTTAGTTCAAGTAAAGCAATAGTAACAAAAATGTGCTTTCAAGATCATTATTATACGTATTCACTGGTACTATTACCTTATAGACACTATACAGCAGTGATTGTCAAACATTTGGGTCTGGAGATAACTTCAGACCCCTAAAAATCATTAAGAACTCCAATTTTTTCTGTACGTGATTTATACCTATCAATATGTATTGGTGTAAAAATGAGACAGCTTTAGAATATAAATTTTTAAAAAGTTGGGTACAGTGGGGAAAACCTATAAATCCAGCTTCTTGGGAAGCTGAGGCAGGAGGATCATAAAGTTTTAGGCCAGACTTGGCAACTTAGTAAAATCCTGCCTCAAAATTAAGACATAAAACGGACTGGGGATAAAGCCAAAAAATAAAAATATTAAAAAACAAGAAATCAATTCATAGTAATCAAAATTACATTTTCACAAAAATAACTATGTTATTTAAAAGGAACCTGAGAACAATGCCATTCTATATTTTTCTTCAAAATTTTCATTTTATCACCAACTGAAGAGAAATGATCGTATCTGACACTACATTCAGTCTAATGCAATATCACATGACATATGTCCCTAGAAAACCCCACTCTATACTTGAGAAAGAATGAGGGTAAAAGGGGAAAATAATCATTTTTTGTTTATTATGAAAATAGTTTAGATCAGGGAGGTCACCTTGAAGAATGTTAGGAAGCCCCAAGAGTTGCCTGAAGCACACTTTAAGATCCAGAGCTCTAAGGAGCCAATTGTAACTGGTATTCTTTAGCCATTATAAACTTACATGTCTCCATGCCTTCATCATCATCATCGATGGCAGGTTTATCATAAGACTTGTCAATAGCAGCTCTGAAGCTCTCATTGCATCCCCTTCCTCGGATTATGCGCGGCCGTGGGCGATGGAAAGGAATATCCCCATTCAAAGTCACCTCAGCTACCGCTGTCTGCAGACTCTCCAGTGAACTTGACTTCTTCAGACCCAGGGAAGGTCCCACGTCCCTGTTGGGGGAGCCTTGAAGATTCAAAAAAACCAAAATGTTAGTTAGAGGTAGGGGAATATTACATACCCAAATACCTATGCATTCTAGAAAACTTCTGGGATATAGGTCATTTGCTCAATGGTAAGCACTAGAATGTGAATGATAAAATAGTTAAATAAAGTAATCATTACTAATTTTCATTTTTATCAAGTTTATATATTCAATTGTGGTTTTTTTCCTGTATTTCCACTAGGGAACAATCTAAGTTTCAAGTTTCCATTTTTATCTGAACAGATGAAATTTTTGTCAAATCATTTTGCTCCGGATAATATAAATAATCTAAATGAACTAGAATAACCAAGAATCTCATTTTAAAATTCAGAGGTTACAAAAAGGTCAAGAAACTGAGAGTAAGCTTTTAAACTCAACTGAAATCATTTTCTGGAAATATAAAGTCATTTACAGCAGAAGCTAAGACATTTATACCAATGAACTTCACTGAGACCCCTTCCCATGGATAAATGCAGATATACAACCCGTCACCAATACAATTAGAACAATCTAGCACCAGGTAGAATTTATTAGAATTTTCCTAATACAAGAAAACAAGAATGTTCTAGTGAAAGAGCAGCCCAAGATTGTAAAAGAAACAAATGGTGTGAGGGCTCTCTCTCAAAAATAGGGAAAAGAAATGAGATCAGAGGGTTGGAAGTGAGTGCTTACATCTCCAGGCCTGGGAATACTACCTGTTTGAAAAACATGTGAGGGACAGAAGGAAGAGGACTTAGCAATTACCAAGAAAATTTCAGCAGGATAGCAGAGGAGAATTCAGGGAATTAACAATTTGGCTCTATTTCTTGAAGATCCAGGGCAGAAAGGCCTGAGATAATACCAATAGTACCCAGGCTTAGAAGGCAATCAGAACTGATTTCTTTAACCAGGTAAGACAGCCTCATCCATCACTGCCTGACCTGGCACTCAAAGGTAGACTAATTTAGCCTCTACATGGCTGAAACACCAGCTCTGCACCACCACCTGGGCAATCCAGGTTACAGAACTGGTTCTTCACTTATCCTGTTAAAAAGACAGATGAAAAAAAAGGGGAGGGGAGGAGAAATAAATAGTTTATCTCTACATGGGGTCATCAGACCATATGTTGATCAATAATTAAGGAGTAGCCTTGTCATGTTATTACTTCGAAGACAAATAGTTGCGACATGTGCTTTTCATAGCTCAGAGTATAATACAAAATGAAAATTGAGAGAATTAAATTGAGAATTCTCTTTTTTATCTTCATTTGTTTTATCTTTTACTTCATTTTCACAATGGTATTAGTTGTTTCAAGTAAGAACAGATTGTTGAAAATGTAATTATATACAGAAAGGCAGACATGACTCTAATGATGAAATTATATTCTATATGTTATCATGCTTGGGAGAAAATGACGATATGTTTAGCTTTCCCCATGCATCTTTGTATGTTTCACATGAATATTTCAAGGAGATCAATCTTACTTTTTATCTTCATAGCATTATAATTTTTGGCAAATACATTTTCTAAGTTAATCATAACAGTTACATCACAGCAAAGAAAATGAATTTTCTTCCAAAGAACTAAACAAAAGGTAAGAAATCAAGAAATATAATAAAGGGGTGAATCATATCTGCCAGAAATATTTACCTTTATATTTCCTAGAATTAGTATTTGGAAAATTTTTTAAAAATAAATTATGCCTTTAAATTTTCATAATTTTCTGTCTGTATTTGGGTTCTATAAAACATGTATTAGGCAAATATTTGATGTTTTCTTGGGTTCATCAAAGATGTGTATATATGAATGCATATGTGTGTATTTAGAGCTCTAAGATTTCATGTTATAGGCAAGGATTATCACAAAAATATCATTTACTAAATATATTAAGCTTATGAGGTTGCAGTGAATGTACTCAAAGCAACAAAACTATAATAATGAACATAATAACTGGTATGAATATGTATTAAAATTGAGTGTCCCTCAGCATAAACACAGGAAAATCTGCAAAGAAAAATAATGGTGAAAGTAAAATTAAATAAGCAATAAAAATTTTTAAGTGGGATTAGGAGTAAAGATCCATGGTATAGCATGTGCTTAGGATGCATGAGGCCCTGGGTTTAATCCCTAGTACCCCCTCCCCCCAAAAATTTATCAGTGTGACTCAGAGTTTTACCTATTTAATTTTTTCCTTAAACTCATAACGCTATGATACAAAATTTTAGCAAAGTGTTGATAATAGTAGATGGTTGATACTGAGTTTGTGGAAGGGAGGTCAATCAACTACCCTCTCTGCATTTATATATGATTGATATTCTTTAAAATAAACAGTTACATAAAAGATCAACTCTATAAAGTGTCATTCTATGACAGGGACTGGCAAATCAAGGGACAATCCTGAAAAATTTCACTGGAATGCATGCGCACACCCATTCATTATTTCACTGTCTACAACTACTTTCATACCCTTGATCTGGGAATAAAGATCACAAGCATATTTTCTTCTCTAGATCTGTTTTGTTTTGTTTTGTTTGCATTCCTGTGGATCTAACTCAGGGCCTTGCACATGCTAGGCAAACACTATACCACGAGTTATATCCTAGCCTTAGATCTGTTTCTCTATTTCTACTTATTACTACCCCTCTTGCCAAAAAATCAATGAAACAAAAACTCAAAAACAGTGACTAATGTCTTTTGCAAGGGTCAAAGGAAAATTGAATTCAGTTTTCATTAGGAAAGGCTTAGAACAAGACAGATGATCTATGCTAAAATGCAATTACAACTCTCCCCAAAACCCTTGGACAAGAATAAAAATCATGATAATCTTGAAAATTCAAATGAAATGAAGAAAGAAAAATAACTGAAAACATGTTACTAAAATTGGGTAGAAAGAATCCAGGTTAAAAGTTTTATTAATGTAGATCTAAAACCAATAGCTCAAAAGGCACTTTAATATCAATTTCTTGTCAAGATTTTCCAATTTACTTTGGTAGAAAAGATTGCAGATAGTACAGAAAAATGTTCTTTTCATCTAGTATATAACATTTTAAAAGACAAGAAAAACATGCTTTGATCAGATTATAAAATTTGCCTATTCACTGGGAAAGTTACATAATGCTTTCAGTTAAAGTCTGGATATCATTATTTTAAAAATAACAATAAATTGTTCTTTTCCTTGTAGTAGCTTTGACCTGGTTACATTAAATATTTTCCCTATTTTACTTAATTGGCATAGTTTGCAAAATCATGTCCTTTAGCTGGAGCAGTTCAAAAGGGTCTCTTAGTAACATTAACGTAGACAAGGGCTACTTCTTTAAAAACCTAACAACTTTAAAAACTAATTTCCCATTTTACATATGTAAGCTATCAAATAATATTTTTCTTTAGTCCTGCTTTAAAATTTCAGTAAATTTTATACTTGATAAGAAAAATAACTAGTTAGTAAGGGCTGAGTTTATAATTAATTGCCTTGTAATACAGTTAATCTTATGATTTATTGAATGTAATTTTTATAATCTATCTTTTACTCTACAGAACATGATAACTCCAACTACGTCCACAGTAATCTTTACATATGTATGTGGGATACACATTTTTTCAAGCAGGCTAAAACTAATTACTACTGCAGGTTAAAAGGTGAATTAAAGCTAATTAGTGCTAAGCGATGTAACTCAATTATCCTGGATCTAGAATAATTAAAACATGATTCCAACTTATAATAATGAAACACAAGTGCTCAATTGAACAAAGCACATTCCTTAAACTATATTTAAAGACTTTTCTCCACTTTTTTTTTCATATAACAACATAAAATGTACAACATAAAACCCAGGTCAGTATAATCCACTATTTCTATGAAATGGTCTAGCAGTGTTTTTTATAAGCAATGAATTTAGAACAAGTTCACAAAGATATGGAGCCAATATGCATTATATTGTCTACTCCAATGCAAGTTAACTGTAAGTTAATCCAAACACCCAAAAAAGAACCAAGGTTTTCTTAGTGATCAAAGACAGCAACCATGTACAGTTTCATGTAGTAAAAAATGTTTATATTGTAATGTTATCTTTCAAATCAAAATCAACACTTTGAAACTTGGATGTAACCTAGACATCATGTAAATTACTTAAAAACGTAACAGAGTCTACCATAGAGAACAACTTTTCAGGATTTTGCTTTTTCTTAAATGAGGATAAAACATTCCTACACAATAATTAGAAAAATCTAGGAACTGGGTGTGGCGGCATATGAATATAAGCCCCAGCTACTGAAGAGGTTAAGGATGAAGTTTGATTGAGCCCAGGAGTTCAACAGACTGTGGACCCCATCTCAAAAAATGAAGAAAATCTAGATTGTTTCTAACATTGTAAATGCACTACATTGCATTTCCATTTAGTATGTCTACCACTGATGAATCTGTCTTAAGAGAAAATTTTTCCTTTATTATACAATTTGATTTCCCACAATGAAAACATCTGTGCAAGACTGGAATACTTATGTTTACATGCAATATGATTGGCAGCTCTATAATTGTGATAAGCTCCTTGGACCACTGTTTCTATGGCAACAGCCTAACTGTCCATTCTTACCTGCTTTCTGGTCATCCACTGTATTGAGTTTAGTCTCGTCAGCTACTGTTAAAAGGTAAATGTATAATGGTTAGCCCAGTTAGTCCCCACAGCCCAACATGCTTCAACCATTCCCAGATCTTTACAGTTAGGTGACAATTCTTAGGTAATATTTCATGCAAATAATATAAAACATCAAGCAAACATTCATAATCAAAAATTAAAGGAGAAAAAAAAGCAGTGTCTCCATGCAATATCCCAGTCATTTCATTTCACAGACGTGTGTTATTTATATGTTAGCATATCATAATTAGCCAAGGCAATGCATCGCCAAATTTTTCTTATATACATCTGATAAATTAATGCTTTTAGTCTTGAAGTGCAAACAGTCAGAGAATGGTATAAGGCACATTTGATTAACAATTTTTTTAATCATTCACTTTACAAATTTAATTATTATTATTATTTTTTGTGGATTTGGATTTAAAAAGAGACACTACCTGATTGGTGTCTGATTGAACAATTATTGTTATTTTCCTCCTCTCATTTGCTCCTATTACTTTTTACAATAAATATCCTCTAAAATTATTTTTATTAATTTGATTAAATGTCTTAATTCTCAAAACACAAAGAGGTTCTATTAAGTAAACCTTAAAGAATAGCAATGAAAGGAAGATATCATAGAGTACCAAATTCCAGACATGGATTGAGATAATGGTTTCTCTCCAAAATTTTAGTCTTCTGGTTAAAAATTCCACAACAAACCAAATATAATTTCAATGAAATTGTTTTTTAAATAGCCAAAAGTGTTAAAAACATTTCAGATTTAAAAATAAAGATATATGAATATAGCATGATATGCACATGTGCTTGTTTCCTTTCTCATAAGAAAACATATTAACATATTGCATATTATGAAAACATGCCACTTATGAGTAATACAGTTATCTCAAACTCAGAGGAAAACTAATTTTTGCCAAATTGCCACATTTCACATTTATTTTCTCTATTGCTCAAAAGTAAACAGACATGTGTTTGGGACTACCAATTTTATCCTGAAAGCATCTAAAACTTATTTAGATAAAGATTCATGGAGATTGTACTCACTACCTAAATCCATGCTTTTTGATTTTCGCGTTTTAACGAAATCCAATTGACTGGCATCTGAAAATTGCTTTGTGCGTTTTTCTGACATACTCTGGCGTCCAAATCCTTCCCGTTGAAAAGCAAGTACTGGATCAACATCTGGACTCAAAGAGCTGGTATGAAAAGAAAGATAAACATAAAAGTATTTACTAAAAATAGAAGACATCCAATTGAAGAAAAATGTATACATACTTTATGTGTGTACATGCAGGTATATGCATGTAATTGTGTGTGTGTTTGTGTTTGTGTGTGTGTGTATATATATATATATATATATATAAAATTTATCAAAACAATTTAAGATGAATGACACAAATGAAGTTTATTAATAAAACTTTGTCTGAATAGGTGGTGATGGAAATACACAAAATTAATTTAACATCCAGAGTCTATCTGTCAATTTTCTCCTTTACCTCTCTGTTTCTTCACTCTGTTTGACAAATCATTATTTCTAAGTGATTATTAACAAAGAAGGGATAAGTGCAGGCATGGTGGTACATACCTATAATCTTACAGGCTGGGCAGGAGGATTGCCAGTTCAAAACAAATATGGCAATTTAGTAAAAGACTGTCTTAAAATAAAATTGAAAGGGCCGGAGTTGTTGTAGCTCAGTGGTAAAGCAACCCTGGGTCTGATACCCAGAACCAAAAAAAATTTTAAAAAAGACTAAGGGGTAGGTCAGTGGTAGAGCACTTGCCTAAGAAGCAAGATGCCTTTGGTTCAATTCCCCAGGACTGAAAAAATAAATAAAAGTAAAAATGAGTCCGATATTGGAAGGATTCAATATTTGAGAAAACCTGCCATATACTACATACATAGACTGACACACAAAAAAGTGGCCATATAAACTGTAACTGGATAGAAGTTCCAAAAAAGATGTGTCCTCATACTCTTTTCTGTCTTTATCATGTATTTCAGGAAAGGGGGATAAAAGAAAGGGAAAAAACCCCCACCTTTATGGGTGGTTTTATGAGGCTATTGCTCATCTGAAATAGTTAATCAACTAAAAATTCAACAGACCTCTATCAAAACATATCCTGATTAAAGTGTTGGATTGGGTAGACAAGGGTCAAAATAAGAAGCTAAGTTCATAAGTTCTACAAGTTCATAAGAAAAATACTGTATAAACTTAAAGCATGAAACAGATGCTGTGGATGCACAGATGAGAGAATTAACAGTATATGAAGGAGTCAGGAAAAGCATAACTAAGTTTAGATGACATTTGATTTGGGTGGCACCAACTCAGTGGCTCAAATGTAGATGATAGGAAAGCATATGGCAAATCACTGGTAGCAGGATATATTCCAAAGTGTTCTTCCAGCGGAAGTGGCTGGAGATGACATAGAATCACTCTCATGTGTAAAAATCTGTGAACATTTTAAAAAGCATCACCAGGTGTTCTGAGCACAGTTCATACCATGGGAATGTTTTTCCCCTTGTGTGGACATGCTCAGTAAATAAATATACCAACTCTCCTTTATCAGGGTAGAGCCACCTTACCTATCTGGCCAGAGACCACTCCAATAGAGCCAACTGAACATACTGAGGATGGGAGGGGACCACTTCCATTAAGTCAGCTGAATTTATGATAGACTTCTATATGTTTCTGATGGAAGCAAGCTTCTCTAAGCCTTTATAGCTTTACAAGAATTGTCATTCATACTGGTGAAAGGACAGTGTGATCTGGTTTGGCTGGAATCAAAAACATATTTGCTGTGCATAAAATGAGTTAGCTTTTAAAGGATAGCTAAACTTAAAGATGTGAAAAGTAGGGTACCAGAGAAAAATCTCTACCACTGGGTGAGGGACCATGAAGTTTTGAACCAATATGCCTTAATATGCTCAACAGGAGAACAGTTTCCTAACCATCTAATGAGATAATTGGGACTTAAGATGAAAGCCCTTTGTATACTACTGAGCACTGAAGAAAATAAGTTACTATTATCCAATGATGATTATCAATCTCAAATTATAAAGTAATGCAAATGATGGTGTTCAAAAAACTCACATAAAAGAATTGGACAATCTTTTCCACCAAACACAGAGAGGACCCAAGGGTGAAATACCAGGTATATGGGACCCAGAATTTAAGGAAGTATTCACTTTTAAGGTCATAGAAGTATAGCATTAACATCTGACAGTGAGCCTTCCTTAAATTTTGCCTCCAGAGCACCTTCTTGCCTCATCCTACCTCGGGTGAAGGTATACAGAAAAGAGAAAATAAATCCCAGAGAGACTAGGAGTTTAGTCCAAGGCAAAAACAGTTTTGTTTCATAGTTTTGCAAAATACCATACTCAAGAAATGTCATTTTGTTGTCATTCTCCTCTAAAAAATTCCATTTTAAATACAATATCACATTTCCCCCCAAAAAAAACTCTCAATAAATTTGATGCTCCAAGAAGAAGTAGGGTCGTTTATTTTGAAGTCCCGAGTGCCCCTTTACATCTATATATTCTGCTCTGGGATAGATGGCTCATAATATCCAGAGTACAAAGAATTTACTCAAGAAACACAGTTTTAGAAATGGAAAATTAAAACTCACTATCCCTCAATTTTGTAGCATCAAATTGGAAATAATGTATTTCCAATAATAGTAGCTCTTTTATATTCTTTTATATACTGAAAGTAGATCTCTTCAATCATCCTGTACATGTTTAGCAAATCACTGAGTGGGGAAGGGTAATATTCAGAACACTTCAAAACCTGAACACCAAGAAGGCATCAAGCTTGTAGATGGAATGAATTTGAAATAGAATTTTAAAAGAAATTATTGGCAAAGATGTTTCAAAGAATTATAAATTATAGCTGCCCATGTAGCCTAATGTCCCCATAAAGTATATTTACAACTAATTTTATATCCTCAAAGTTTATGTTGTAATTAAAATTAGAATTGCTGCTAAGCCTTTTCCCCCCTTAAAAAAAACTATTACTGTTCCCTGAATTAATTGATGGATTGGGAAAAGCATATTTTATTAGGTTACAAATTAGAAGTTTAGCCATTTGACATATTTAGCCTTCTACAATTGTGAAATGAACTGTAAATATACACAATTCAAAATGTCAAATGAGTTTGTGAGTTAACAAGAGTCTTAAAATAACTAAATATTCTCAAACCATAACATAATTAATTGTTCCCTATCAATATATCCATTAAACTAATTTCAGACAAATAAACAGTATACTGGAATATTTAAATAGTTAGACTGCAGGACTGACAGATGATTCTTTGAAGAATGTAACCATATCCTGACCCCCAGTGTTATTAAAATTCCAGTTATTAATCCTGTCTTATTGCCCTTTTGTTTTCCTAACATTTTCATCAAAGATTAGGGAGATATTGTCAGACTGGAGAAGCTTACATTTTCTGCTGTGATGCAGAACAGCTGCCATTCTTGTTTGGATAACCCTTCATTCATATTCTTTCCTTTGCCCCACATTCCCCACAGCAAAATCACACCAGTCCTTACCATTTTTGCAAATCCCCCTTAGGGAAATCAATAACACAATCTATCCCCACACGTTATTTATTTCTGTTCAGCAACGCAGTGCTTTATAAAGCCCCAAATAGATCTATTCCTATGACCACCCCCACAATTTCTCATCATGGTGGAGATTCAAAGGCTTTTGTCCCCAAGATGAATACCGCACAGATCTAAACCTTAACTCTCTCTGCTACTGCTCTCGCTTTCAGAAAGCGACATAAACTGCAGCAATGTAACAGCATCTGCACAGTTCAAATGGGTTTTTACTGTATATTGTAGTCACCCCCGCTATATTCAACCAAAAAAACTCATTCAAAGCTAAGCTATTATGTAGGCTTAGCAGAGATCTATTTTTATATACTGTATTTTCAAAAAGAGAATTAAAAAAGAAAATAAAAAGCCAGAGATGAACTTTTCAAGGGCCCAACTAACAGGTGAAGTTATTCCAAGAGAACATCTGCAGAACTGACAGATGAATGAACTAGGTTTTTATGATTTCATCTGGTGAGTGGGAGAAGACGGAGTGGTTTGCCTTGTTAAAATCATTGCTAAAATGTAAACACAAATAATCAGTCCTCTGAATACCTTGAATCTGACATTTAATGTTGACTCAAGTCAGGGAAAGAGTAGGAAGTAGAAACTGATAAGTAGTGAGGGAACAATGACACAACATTTAAATACAGTTTTACTTATGTGCTTATGAAAGATCCTAGAGAAATGGAAATAGGAAAATTCTGGTTTAATACTTCACAGGTTCATGCTAATGGTCTCTCCATCTTATGAGTTATCTCTAAGAGGGACTTTACTTTTGCATTATTGATGTACTTAACTACTAGGGATGTGGATTAAGGTACCCATCCACATTTGTGAGCCACACACTGGCTCAAAAATATCAAGTGCTTTCTCCTACTCTTAAGGATATGACAGAAAAAAAATGGAACGAGAATTTCTCAAAAATTCCTGCTAAAAACAAAGGCAAAATATTTTAAACAGTGTTGTAACTCTCTCCCCCTCATCTCTGGTATACATTAACTATTAGTTTTGCATCTAATTTCAGCAAATAAATTGGGGATTTGAATACAATTTACTTATTGTATAAAAAATACAATGCCAACTTAACAGAAATCTAAAATATGTAACAAAACATTGAAAGCAGATGAATATGGGCTAGGGATGTGGCTCAAGTGGTAGCGCGCTCGCCTGGCATGCATGCAGCCCGGGTTCGATCCTCAGCACCACATACCAACAAAGATGTTGTGTACACCGAGAACTAAAAAATAAATATTAAAAAATTCTCTCTCTCTCTCTCTCTCTCCTCTCTCTCTTTAAAAAAAAAAAAAGAAAGCAGATGAATAGGGTTAGTTCTGCTGTTGTTTTAGCTAAATTACTAACTATAGTATTTGAATACCTCAGCAAGTTTACAGGTTAGCACTATATAATCATTAAGAACATGAAAATTGAAAAAAAAAGCTATAAAAAAATAAATGAATTGGGCTCATTGATAAGCCATAGAAAATATAAAATAAAATGCAACCACAATTAACTAATGTTTTTCAACTCTGTACTACGAACTTACCAGTCAGCTGAATCACTGATTGCAGCCTTAACCCAGGTGCCAGCATCTGTCATCGTGAATCCCACATCATCATGGGAGCTGGAAGAGGACTGGTCAGAAAGATGTGGAGGAAGCATGGGCAACCTGTCATCTTCTATAATGATAGTGTCATCTTGGGGCATATTCACAGTAGGGGACAACTGGTATTTACCTGTCCAATGGAAAAAGAAAAAGAAAAATTCTAGACATCTATTTAACTGCTATGCCTATTCATTTTAATACTTTGCTAAATTAGAAAATGCCTAAACTTCCACATATCTGTTAAACCTGGTAGAACAAAATAGAATTTAGCACATTTATTCCTCATCAATGATCGTCAAACAGAAGCCTCAAGTCTGTTATTACTTCAGACACCTCAGCTATGTAGCTCTGGGCACAGTATACAATTTATCTGGTTTTAAGTTACCTACAGCCAAAGATAATCATCAAAATGTCTTCTAATATGAAACTGCTATGCCTATACTAAGCTATGAAAAGCTCTTTGAAAATTTTTACCAGGAAATTTAGAGGAAAGCCCTATTAATGTACATCAATCATTCATCCATTCATTCATTGGACAAGTACCCTGGGGAGGTACTATAAGACATAATCTCTTTCCAAAGAGTTCACAGGCAAATAAGGAGGAAGGCACTCAGCAGAAACTGGTGTGTGTGTGTCATGTCAAAGGTTCTGTGGCATTCACATGGCGTTGGTAATTGCCTTGGTAGCTGGGCATAGGGAATGCTGGTGACCTCAACAAAAGTAAGCATCAGAGTTGGGTTTTTAATAATGAATATTATCTTTTCTGTCAGAAGAAATGATGGCATTTGTCTTTAAGCTCATAGTACACTCAGGTGATGCTTCAAAGGGAGTAAGCATAGAATCAAGGCTTGTGAGAAGGGAGGTGACAGATTGATGTTAAAGTTGGAATTAAAAAAAAAAAAAGGATCTGAATACTCTGACTGCCTTTGAGGTTTTAAGGCCTTGACTATAGAACTGGTAAATTTTTATTTATTCAGTTAGGATACAATGTTCTTGGTAAGGAAAGACCTATAATTTTCTATAATACTGCCTAGTTTCTCATAGTACAATTTGCTCAGGTTCATGGATAAGCATTAACAGTCATTTACATGTCACAGTCTTTATAAGGACAGAATTATGTTACAAGGGTCTGACTCTGGAATGATAAAGCTGGGGTCCAAATGATGTCATCTTTTTCCCCAAAAAATCACCTACAGTTCTTGTAGGTTCTTCCCAAAATCTTACACCACGCTTCTTCTCAACAAGAATATATTGCCAAGGCTTTTGATCCACGTGGATACCGTGCGAGAGGCTATATTCACAGTAATATCCTCATGGCATGAAGTTCACAACCTGAGTTCCCAACAAAGGAAACAGCTCTGACAGTTACTCTGTCCAACTCATAGCATAGAAAAGCTCTCATTTTAAGTTCGATTTCCAAATCAGCTATATTTGGGTTCCTATCCAAGTAAAATCCACCACCATTTTACACTGGGAGAACTTTCCTTTCATTAAAAATTATTGTTTTTACATAACACTACAGCAAATGTATAGAGAGTTCAGTAACTTTAAAAGAAAACATCTAGGGCTGGGGCTGTGGCTCAGCACTAGCACACTTGCCGGGCATGTATGAGGCACTGGGTACTGCATATAAATAAATAAAATACAAAGAAAGAAAACATCCACAGGAATGTAGGGTGTATTCTAGATAGGCTTAAAGGATTTTTTTTTTTTGAGTACAGAATATATTTTTCAGGACATTTCTGCAAAGAAACAAACAAATAAAAAAATTAAGCTGTATTTTTCCAGGACAACCCACAAAAGAAAACTTGCTAAAAATTTCAAATGCATTCATTATTTAGCATTGACTACTCTAGTATAGAAACACTACATGTTCATTGAAACCTCTACTTGGGCATCTTATCAAGAAAAACTTTCTACTTTGATTTCAAAAGCACCAGTTTGTATTACTATAAAAACTGGCAGCTTTATATGAATGCTCATGATACAAACATACATCAAATATAACATGTAATCATTTCCCTTTTTTTGATTTCAAATAATTTATTTCTTCCTACACAAGATTTGGAATATAAGTATAGAAACCTGTTCACCAAAATACCATTTGTATGTATGTTAGGTAGGGCATTCTAGCACTATTAGCAAATTAGCAAAAGACTGTATCCTCCTCAAGATCTGTTTTTCTCTCCCAAAAGTATACAGAATTATAAAATGAGGTTTAACCTTGACCTACAATTAACATGAATGAGGCATTATCCACAACATTAAATACCATGTCTTCACTCAAGCATATTTTACTGAAGAAAATATGACAGAGTAATAATAATGCACATAGTTTTAAACACAAAAACTAAAATTCTTGCAAAGACACAATATATCCTGAGTGATATCTAATAATTGATATGAAACATTGATTGGTTCATGTGATAATCCTATTTTCTAATGTTGTTTGGAATGGGAATATTATACCTTAAATGATCCAAGATTTTTGACATACATAAATGTCAAGAACTATATAAAAAAATTGAAGTTTTTCTCTCACCCATGATTGTGGAGATTAATACTTAACAAGATTTGATTACTCATATTTTCCATTAATTTTTCACTTCTTAGCATGTTGGCTGGGAATAGATTTGGGATTTGGCTCCAAGAATCAATTGGAGTAGTAAACAACTAACCCACTTAACTATACTTTCCACCAAGCTCCACCAAGATAACACCAAAATCTCTTAATTATGTTTACTAGTACTTGGCACATCCTGAGATTGAAATCTTATAAGAGTGACTTGAGAAGAATTCTATCTGTTTTTTGATGGAAAAAACAAACAAACAAACATCCTTCGTCCTCAGCTAGTTAATCACCATGGACAAAAAAAGAAGTAAACCAGTCAATATCTTATAGAAGAGTGAAACAATGAGATACAAAATTATTGTTTACTAAACATTTATTCATTGGTAAATTTACAAGGAATGTAATATCATGAATGAGACTAGAAACAAATGAGATGAGGAAAATTATGCCAGTGATATGACTGATAACATCAATATCCCATTTTTCTATGTCAAATTTCTAACAAGGTGAAAATGTTTGAACAAAATTTCAACTCACCACAAATGTATGAATACAGACACAACTGAGATAACTTCTAAAATAGATATAACAAATTGCTGCTGTGCTTTAAACAAAATTTGTTCAGATAAAAATGTTGAGGGAAAATTTAAGTTTTGATGTCCTCAAATATCAACTTGTACTGTATTTTTTGGAGTAAACGTATTGGTTAAATTAGCTATGCCTATTATTCATTACTGTTATTAATTAAGACGGTCCAAAAATTAGAAAACATTTTCAAGCCTCCTCAAAGGAAGAAATCCTATGTGGGATCACTACAGGTTACTTCTTTTGATAGATATGCAAGTTTTGCTTTTAAAATCCATGACAGCAGGAATTCGGTAAAAACAGATGACATTTGGAGAAATCTAGCCTTTGGTCACAATTCATTTGTGACAAATATGGGACCCATGATCCAGAAAAGTATAAATCCAAATTTTGATTCAGAAACACAGAAACTGTACAGTTTTAGTTAAGTCACTTAATTTCTTTGGTCCATAACTTCCTTGAGTTAGAGGATATGAAGGATGGATTACATAGTTTCTAAGGTTATTTCAAACATGAACTTCTTTAACTTTTAGATCACAATGGATGTGGGATGAAATAGATTCTAAAAACTAATGCTTTTACTCAAGGACTGGACACTTTTAAATTGATGTGAATAAGGAATGAATGACATGAATGTCACTCACAGTTACTGTGTGATCTCAGCATTCCCCCCCGAGATGGCTAGTTTTAGAAAGCAGAAATAGCCAAAAACCAAATAAAACAAAAATCATCATGGGATGTTGGGACTTAGTTCCTTTATCTGGAAAGTGAGAAAGAGTGTGACTGATGACATCTGACATCCCTCCAAGTGGAAAGTCTGCTCCTTTTTTTTTTTTTTTTTTGGTGTTATTTTGTAGAAGCTTCTCTTCTGGGATGTGTTACCAAAGAAATAGATCACAAGGCCTCAAAACTCTGGTCCAGTCTTACTTAGGGAATATTGTGTGTGAAAATTTGCCCTGTTCACATAAAATAATCAGTTCTTAATGTAATCCTCTGGAATTTCCATATAACGGTCTCTTCCTAGCATACCAGAAAATGCAGTAAATGGCATCATGTCCACAATGATCACACAGGAGTGATTCTAAATGCACAGAAAACAACCATTAATTAAACAGGATCTGTGTGAGAAATTTCTATGTTCCTCGACACTGTGCAAACTAGTAAATACCACTGTTATTAATGTAGGCTAATGGAAGGTCAGTGCTCTCATATTTATATATGGTATCCTGTATTTTGGTATTTGGTTGCAAAGTAACATCTTTTACAAGATTTCTAACTTCGTGTGTTAAGCAACTTTATGAATAGCATCTGAATCTAGAGCCGATGACACTAGAACAAGAACAGGTAAAAGTCTGCCTAAGTCTCGAATACACAAAATGTAAGATAAATCAAATTAAGCATATACATTCTTCAGGGTAAAACTGCACAGGATCCCCACTTTCTAGTATAACATGTAAACAAATTGTCTTAAAGAAACACGTATATCACACATCAATTTGGCCTACCATCAAACAATAATAAATCTGTCACTCCCCAGCCAAAGGATATGTACAATATATCACCAGATACAGAACTAGGCTGTTAATTCTTGCCATAGGAAGGCATCTAGAATATAAGAACTCATTACATATCTAGCTGAGGGAAGGGGAAACAATGTCAACTAGAATGCAGGATGAAGAGGACTAACACAGTCACAGCTAAAAAAAAAAAAAAAAATCAGGGTGACAGACTATGGAGAAAACAAAAAATCCTCAACCCATATATACAGCATTTCCACAAGTGACTAGGTAAAAATTTTGGGATATTTGTTTGATTTTTAAAAAGTTTTAGTTTTTCGCCTTCCTCTGAAGCATCAGGGATTGGAGGCAGGATGCAGGTTACAGGAACTGGTGGACCAATGGTCTGATTCAGTATGGCAAGTCCTATGTTCCTATAACAAAGGGGAAATTACAGCATATCACTTTGTATGCACACAGATCCAGGGATACATGCACACACACTCTTTCTCAAGGGATCTAAAATTTCATCAATGGAAAAGAATTCAACACGGATAAAGTTTTACACCAAAGCCAAGAAAGTATGGAAAAATCCAACTGCAGTGAAGAGAGTGATAATTAATAAGCAAAGAATACGTGTGATAAACTACGCACAAGGCCTTTCACCCAACTGGTGTTCAAACCAACAGGCAAAGCATCCTGCCCTAAATTTCTCTTTTGACAGGCAGATAAAAAGAAAATGCCAACAGAGTAAAACCAGAGACCTGGCATGTGTTAGCTCTACATGTACCAAGATAAGAAATCCAGAGTTTATTAGCAATTTTTCCAAATGAGAAAGCTAGAAGATTAGAGAAAGAACAACAGAAAATTCTACTAGTCATATATCAATAATCTTTTCTATTATGCCCAGTAGAAAGTTCTCCAAAGTTAGAGATTGTTTCTTACTCATCTTTGTATCTACAGCAAAAAGCAAATTCACAAAGTCTTCCCAATAGCAGGCTTTCCATAAACACCCACTGATGAACTCCACAAATTCTTGTTTCAATGAAGTCTCATAATGGAAACTTAAAGTGTATTCAATCTGCATTAAATGTACTCAAAATGGTGTTAAATTTAGGTTTTCATTTTAAATGAGAGCCTTGCAAAATATACCAGTAAAACCAGTGTTTTCTGTCAGCTGTTGTTTTAATCAAACCATCACTTATGTTTTAAATTTGAAAAATCTCAGAAAACCAATCCCAAGATGAGCAATTCTGCATATCCAACCACTCCTGTGGCAGAGAAAGTCTTTATTAACTGGATCTGTTAGTAGAAAGCTGAACTGCTGAAGAGCAAGTGCTAATAACCTCATTACCCACTGGGGGCCATGCAGACAGTATGGTGTTGAATTCAAACAAAGGATGCAGAAGACTAGTTATAGAATTTTGAGAATGAAGCTTTGAAAATGTAGAAATACAATTAAAAGATATGACTATCCTAATTAGTATAAACAAAATAAATATGAATATTTAATAAAGGTGCATAACCATATGTATACATATTTTTTCCTCTTCCTCTAAGCAGTGAATGACATATAACTTTTAAATCCTGTTGCCATACACCACTAAATTTTGACATTTTTAAAAATAGAACTTCACTGGTTATCTCAACAAGCTAAGAATATCTTGATCCCTGAAGAACAACATCAACAAAAAAAAAAAAACATTTCTTTATGATCCTTTTCTTTTTTCTTCTTTCCACATATTATGGGCTCTGAAACTCACTTAACAAATCGATGTATTGATTTACTCTTTTCACATTAATGCTTCCTGAATGATTATAATGAACCTGTTCTCTTTCCTCTTGGAAACATGGGTCTCCTTTACATTAATATTACATTAATAACCTCTCAGTGAACCAATGAAAGCATAAACATAAGATGAGATAAACAGAGTTTTACCTGACTCACCCATTATCCTACTGAGTGCAGCATTTCTTGTGGGTGATTCATCAAGTCCCTCGATCCCACTGTAGAGGGAATGGGAAATTCTTCGTTCTCTATCATCCAACACTGTTTCAATGGGCAGCTCAGATCCAGGGGGGCTCCCAGGTGACTTTAGCTATACAGAAAGCGGGGGCAAGGGAGAATCAGTCCTGGAGGCCCATTAGCAGCATGGGGGAATTATAACAACTTGCCCAAGGCCTGTATCCAACTGGGTACCAAATGAACTAGAACTTTTCACCCTGTACCAAAATAATTTGTGATGACAGCTCTGCCTAATGACCAACTTTCTGTGCCACTTTAGACAATGCCTCCCATGAAGTTCTGTCAGATTGTAACCACCAGAGAAAAAATATGTATATTAAAAGCTTTTTTTAAAAAAATCTTATCTGGTTGCTTATTTTTTTCAATTTCACTGTTAGTATCTGTTGAAGTCAATTTAAGTTATAGTTTAATTCATAATTCCTTACTAAATGTTTTTCTGTAAAAGACATGCTTTATCAGAATAGAAGCTGGAGTTGGGATATAGTTTTATTACATACAGTATGTAAATATTTCTAACAATTAGCACACCTCTTTGCCTGTCTGCTGGTAGAATTATGAGCTCTTCCATTTTTCAGCTTAAGTGTTTTCAATAATATAATGAATCTAAATTTCTTCTAGTAGAAACTCAGAATAACCATTGTATCATCTTAGAATAATATTTAAATATGAAGTAGTAATAATTGAAATAAGCACTTTAACAGCATACAGAATAATACGGAAATAAAGACCAAATATTCTGGTAAAATACACAGATAAGAATGTTTAAAAAATACGAAGTCTACTAAATGAGCAAAAAAATGCAGGTCAATTTCTATGATTACACATTAAAATAGTATGTGGCATTCCTTAAAACTGCTTTGTCTTACAAGTCCAAATCTCCACATAAATAAGACATTTAGGTTAATAAGACCTTGAAACAACTCTGCTTCAAGGAAAAGCAAAGTACACTTAAATACAACTGTCACTAGTCATGCTCTGAGGTTAATTTCATGGACTAACTTCTTATGAGGCTTTGGTGCCAGTCAGACCAAGGAGGGTAGATGCAAGGCACAGGCAGGAACAGGGCACCAAGGCCAAGTATGAGAAGCCCATACATTCGAAATGGATGAAACTGAAACTGTCTTGCTTTGTCTGAACAAATTATTATTTCTGTTAGAAGCTACGGTGTGTTTAATATAAATGAGATATTTAATGAAGTTCCAAATTGTAGATCTATCTCTCCCAGTTTGATAAGCACTGGGGAGATTTAACACATTGAAGGGTCAACACAATTACAATTGGAGGCACGTCAAACTGCAGGAGAATAATAAACTTGCAGTGCTAGTGAATTAAATTCAATAAGGTTTAAATTGTGAAATGAGGATTTGTTCTATTAGGTTCTTTTTTTTTTTAAATTGCAGATTACAACTGACAGCTTTACTGAAAAGTAAATTAAATATTCAAGTTCTCTGATGTAAAGAAATAAAAGAACATTTTATGCAAAAAAACCAAAAAAAACCAATGCCTAAATTCCAAGATACTCTAGAGAGATAAAAACAAACAACAAATAAAACTAATATTCTATAAATTTGAGGACAAGTGTGTTTTTTTGGAAAGTGTGAGGTTTTAAATGAGCACATACATTAAAGACATAGTTTAACACGACATAAATATATCCTCAATTTACTTAAAAAATAAATTTAACTCAACTACATATTACTTTCTAAAAGATAAAATCTTTTAAAACCTCCTTCATTTAAGAAATATCAAAATATTCAAAGAAGGTATTAAAAAATTTTATAAAGCAAAATAATAATCTACTAAAAATAGTGAATCCAGGATTTCTAGACAAAAACAGTCAGATGGCTGTTCCAAAGAATCATGCACTTGAACATTTTCATGGGAAAGATCTTACACCTCCCTACCTCAACCCATGTCTAATTTGCATCTGAAAAGACAGATTTAAATGAAGACATCAATAGTCTACTACATAAATATTTAACAGAACATACAATGCCTTTTAATTTCTGCAGTTAAAAAAAAAACTGATTGGGGTACACAGTGTTGTTTTAAATCTTCTGATGATTTTTTCCCCTGCAAAAAAATGACGTTCAGCAGCAGCACAGAAGAGGTAAGGGCAGAATAACCACCCTCCAAGCTTGGTCTCCCATGCCCTAAAATCCTCATATTAAATTTAAGCTTAATGAGAAGAACCCATAGTAAACAGAACAGCACTTTTCATGACATTATCTCTTTGCTGCTTAAACTGTACACTTTTTCTCCACTCTAATTCAGTCCCAAGTAATACCAGTAGTTGTTTTAACCTTCACCTCCATCCTTAGCAAGATTCTGTTAAAGAATATCTTGTAGCTCTAGGTTGCAACAAGATAACCCATATTGGTAGGAGGGTAGAGTGATAATGTTTTGCTAAAGTAATTTAGAAATTAAAAAGGTAGGTCAAAAAGTATCATATTTTTTTGGCTGTTTGACTAGGCATTTATTTCACTTTGTAGTCACTATCCCAACAGGGCAAAAATCAATATTTATCATAATATTATTTACAAAGGTATAAAAATTGAGAATAACCTTGAAATTTAAAAATAATGTAACTATGGTATGCTTTTGAAAATATATTCAAATCATATTACTTATATAATCAGAAAATAATAAATGCTTTTTAATAACAAAAAACTGGATATTGTCCAGTGACTATGCTTTTCATTATATACTTGGCATATTCTCCTTTTCTTAAAAAAAGGAGAAATCTTGATTTATTCTAAAGAAACTAATACAATTTCTGTAGGGTTTAGTAAAATCTCATTTTGATCTAATTATACATTAGTGGGTAAATGACATTTTTCACATAAAGAAAATGTATCCTACCATCTCCATTATAAACACTGAAAAGCTGGCATAGGTATAGCCCTAATCCCCTTCAGCCAACCTAAAACTGGATCCTAGTTTGCAATTGGCAAGATCTTATTATTTGATATTCAGACTTTATGAGCATATTCTTTTCCATTTTATCCCCAATGCCTGGTAGAGATCAGGCACTGGCTAAATAATTTACTTAATAAATTCATTCCTCAGAAAAGTGTATGACTCAGATTTTCCTTAAAATGATATACTAGGTTACATGAAAGAAGGCCTTTAAAATTGAGGACATAGCACAATGTTGAAATCAAATGACATTTAACCTAGATTACAATTATATGTGCTAGAAAATTCCAGCATCCAAAGGACAGGTAAACAAAAAGCAAAAAATAAAAAGATAGGTTTTACTTTTGGGGAGTGGAGGGAGTTTTAAGACACAGTTTCAGGTTCTGCTTTCATGTAGGACAACATTTAACTTCCTCCACATTCCTACTGGCAACAGCAAGAAAGGTGAAACTCCCCAAGTCATTGTGCCTGTATGTTGTCGAACAAAAATTTAACTGATTTGGTCTGGCACTAAAGCCCATGCTTTCCTTGTATGCTACTTCCCAATAAAACTGGGATATAGATTGCCTGAACAACATGATTGATTAGATCTGCTCACCTATGTAAGAGGCATGGATAACTTGCTTCTAAATTACTGTCAGTGTGTTGGCCTCGAAACCATTAAGCAAATCATTTGACCTCTCAGCATCTATTCCTAATTCATACAATGAAGAGAACCATAAATGATACCTTAGGCCTTTTTCTATTCTAATACAGATTTCTAATTCTAAAAGGATCCAATCTAGAGAAAGAATTCCTTCTAATTCATTCTTATTCCTTGATGACTAAATCCCTCAATATGGGGTCTAACTCAAAAACTCACATGGTAATATTCCCTACCAGAACTTAGAGAAGGTTTACATAAAATCACTTCTAACAGAAACAATAAAATAACTGGAAGCTATGTTAAATTACAGTAATTTCTACAAATATTAATATCCTTAAGCTATTTAAAATCTGCATAATTTAATTCTCATATACAATTTATTTTCAATATTAAAGGAATGATGTCAGGCATTTATTCCCAACCTCCCAATTTTATTTCATTCTTCAACAAATTTTTCCTTTGGGGTAAACTATACAATTTTTCTTTTTTTGCTTTGTACATTCCAAAGCTGAAACAATGGAAAAGAATGTCAAGACTTAAAAATTCATTTCTAAAAAATTACAGCATCCTCCAGGAGCATACAACACAGGGAAGTCATTTCTATTTCTTTGAAAATAAATAATGATTGCTTTATGATTTTTTTTTCTCAGTACAAGGAATTGAACCTAGGGCCTTACACATGCTAAAAAAGTGGTTTTGCCACTGAGCTACATCTACAGCCCTTTTTAATTGTATTTTGAGACAGGGTCTCCCTAAGTTGTCCAAGCTAACCTTGATTCAGCCTTCACAATTGCTGGAATTATAGGCATAGGCCACCACACTGGTATAAAATGTGTTTAAAGGTAGTTAAGGAAGAGCATAAGATCTAAGAAAAAAAACAAAGAAAATGTAGAATCTGCCAAAAATTCATTTTCTTACCTTGTTCAATGGTTATTTTAGAACTTTAGTCTCTAATACTAATTATGTTGTCTGTCTGTCTGTCTGTCTGTCTCTCTCTCTCTCTTTTTGAAAAATGCAACGTTCCTGGGCTGTTACCATCATCATTCATTGACTTGTTGGGCCCTAGACTGATATCCATGACAGATAGATCGGAACACAGTAGATGGACAACTTCCTGGCAGTCTCAGTATTAACAGTTCCAGTGAAAGAAACCATGATAAGTGATAGGGTTGCTGGGCGAAGGTGAGTACACAGGGCTATGGAAATATTTGGGGAGAGAAAACCAAAATCGAAAGGCTACGTGAGTTTGAGAAAGGAGCACAGAGGAGCTGCAGCAGACTGCACACAGGGAATGGAAGGGTACAGATTCTAGATCACTCACATCCTATGGGCGTGTGATGGGCTCACATCTCTCCTGGAGATGCGGGAGTTCCTGAAGGGATTTCTGTAGGGACTGGCAAGAGTATCTTGCTTTCCTAGAAACATGTCCCTTACTGCAGTGCAGAGCACGAACTGAGGGAGACAGCCTGACTGTACAGAAACTTTCAGGGAAATACATCAGTGAGCTTGGGAAGATGATGGGCTCTGAATCCAAACGATGGCAGTACAAATGGAGAAGAGTGGGCTGGGTAGAGAAAGATTCCCAAGGCCAAAGTTAGAGACACAGTGAAGGCACCCGAGAGCACGAGAGAGACCCCAGCTCTCTGGCTTCTATTGTTGAAGCAATGGCCATGCCTTTGGAATAAGGAACCTGAGAGACATACCAGTGAATGTATCTGTGGGCAATTGGATGGAGGAATCTGGTGCTCCAAGAGAGTTTTAGGGGATTCATCACCAATCACCACTCGTCATAATCCCTTGATACCCACAGGGATACATGACCCTTGCACACACCAAACTCTAAGGATGCTCAAGTCCTTTTGCATAAAATGGCATAATATTTGTCTAGAACATTCTCCCATACACTTTAAATCCTTTCTATTTATAATAATTCACTATTTATGATAATGAAAACAATATAAATGTTACATAAAGAGTTGTTATACTATATTGTTAGGGAATAATGACAAAAAAAAAAAAGTCTGTACATGACCACTGCAGAGACAGTTGGTTGAATCCCTAGATGTGAAACCTATGAAGAGGGAGGGCCAACTGTGTAGGCGGTAACAGATGATCACGGAGTGGAGATTAGCAAGAGAGCAGGTAAAGCTGTGAGAAACAAAAAAACAAGAAGCAGGATAAAAGAAGAACCCTTAAAGGAAAGAGAACAGACAGACTCGAGTAGTAGAAAAATAGAGAGTGCAGGTAAAGAAACATTCTGAGAATAAAAAGTGATATTCCTGAAAGGTCAACAAAACAGATTGAGAAGTAGCATCTAGCATGATAGAAGTGCTGCATTGGGACTAATGTTAGTGGAATGCAGGGTTTTAAAATGAAACCCAGAAAGGAAAGTCAACAAATAAATTTAAAGAAAACATTAAAATAATGTGCAACACTTTCATGTCTAAGGGAAAGAAAGATGCCCAAAGTACATAAGGTTTTCTTTTGCAAATTCTCATCTTATGTACCTGAAAGTATATAAACCCTTAAAGAAGAAACAATAAAATATCTTTCTGTGATATTCTTGCAGACTGGACTACATGGGCGACAAATATACCCGGAAGGGGAGAACTCAAACACGTTATTTTGGCTCAAGGTTTATTTGTGACATCAAGATGTCCTATGCTTATATCAATATTTATAGTAACATAATTTACACATACTCCTCCAGTGGTTCAGGGAGAAGGTTTTCCTAATGTAATATAAGCACAACAGCAGCAAAATCATGTCTTACGCCTTATGGGAAGCTGAATTGAGCTCTTCTGTCTTCATATAATTCTTTAGTTAAACCCTGTCAGTACAAAAGGCTTCTTGCTAGTATTACAAAGAAAGCACAGCACTCATGATAAGATTTTTTTGATATAATTGCTTTATAAGCTTACACTGTCCTAAGAAATAGTAATAACCAGCAATGTACGAAAATGATACCATAAGGAATATTGAATATTAAACTCTATTACTGTCTATTGCAGCTGTTCCCTTACTTAAATCATTTTCATTCACATAAATTCACACGCAGAAGTAAATGCAACACACAGATATTTCAATGGGACTCCAATTTCATGTGTTTTACAGGGCAACAGGGAATAAAATCAGTGCTTTTATCAAAACATTTTCAGGCTGGTGCAGGTTTGCTTCACTACTGTTGGGGAACAATAGGGAATAATCTAAATGAGATGAAAGTAGAATGATGATCTCCGGTTCATTTCTGACTTAAGTCCTCCCATAACATTCAATGTTGTCTGTGAAAGAAAATTTTGATGTGTCACCCATTTTAATATGTTTTTAAAGAACCTAAAAAGTTGATATACTAGCCAGAAAATACATGTTCGTTAAGAAAAGACACTGTCTATTTTATTTACTGCTGTTGTTTCTAGGATCTATTACATTTTCTGAACTATACTAGATGCTCAATAAATAGCTGTTGAATGAATGCTTTTCTCTGGAATGTGAAAGGAAAAAGATCTAATAAGCCAAATTGTGTCTTATAAACATACTATTGACAATTTTTCATGTACCACTTTGTTAATGATTTGGGAAACATTAAAAACTGTTATTCAAGAATAACAGTTCAAAAGGGCTAGGGTTGTAGCTCAGTGGTAAAATGTTTGCCTAGCATGTGTGAGGTCCTAGGTTCGATTCTCAGCACCACATATAAATAAATAAAATAAAGGTCCATTTACAACTAAAAGAAATATATGTCTTTTTTTAAAAAAATAACATTTCAGGAGGCTGGGATGTTGTTCAGTGGAAAAGTGCTTATCTGTCATGTGTGAGATCCTAGAACAGCAGCACTGAAAAATAAATATATATTTATATATTAAAATAACACATATAGTACATGTTGGCTTATTTGGGGAAGCAGATGGTCAGGCCCTTCCAGAGAAGTGCCTATGTCTTTGTACTCACTCCTAATTCTATACTGCAGCACTTTTTTCCCTCCCATTGGTGGAGATCAAACCCAGGATGCCAGGCACACTTGCAGCAAACATTGAACAGACTAAATCTGGGGGTTCCTTTTCTGAATTGGGAACAAATTCTTCCTGCTGAGAATGGAGAATGAAGAGCTACAACCCCCACTTCCTCAAACCTGTATAGCCACAGACAATTAAATATCCACATGTGCATTTCCAATTTCTGGCCTCACTTCACTGTCTCTTCTTTAACAGTTCTGCTCACCTTCAGGGATTGCAAAGAGGGAACTTTTGGAGCCATAGATTTCTCCTATTTTCCTTCAAAACTGACTTTCAATTAAACCTAATTTTCTACCATTTCGACTCCAATATTTCTGGAGCTCAGAGCACACTGTAGCCAAGTCTCTTTCACTCAGGGTAGTATTGATATCATCAGGTAACATATTTAGAACAAAAATTGGTATTAAGAAGCACAAATCTTGGGCCGGGGATGTGGCTCAAGCGGTAGTGCGCTCGCCTGGCATGCGCCGGGTGCTGGTTTCGATCCTCAGCACCACATAAAAATAAAATAAAGGTGTTGTGTCCACCAAAAACTAAAAAATAAATATTAAAAAATTCTCTCTCTCTCAAAAAACAAAACAAAAAAAACTCACAAATCTCTGAAAAAGCAGCCACTCAGGTGAAAAGGGGAAGCCGGGATAGGGAAGGGGCTCCCTCCGCTGACAGAGAAACAACATGGGAGAAAACCAGACTATCTTATTTCATAAGAGGCATCCCATGTAAGATAAACAAGTGAATAAGCAGTTATTTCCCTTCAGAGAAAGCAGTTGTATCGCCACCTGGTAGAACTCAGCTTCAGAGAGCAGAAACTGTGGGCTTGGAGGAGTAAGGTGTGGCCCTGTTTTCCAGAAGAGAACTCTGCTGTCTCTAGATGCCTCAGAGATAGTGTCATCGGGTGAGATAGAAACAGGAACATTACACTTAGAAATATTTTGATCACAATTAAGAAAACTAATCCCATTCTAATAACAAAACAATACAATGATAGCAAGCCAAGATAATGTACCGTCTTTTGAGGTAAGGTCCTGGAACCTGCCATTCTTTGTCCAATGTTAGGAAAGAAATGAGCCTTATTGCAGTTTCAGATACTAGCGCCTTTGGTGTTTTATATTTTTTACCTCATTGCACTTGCTTATTCGCCTCGCCACAATAAGCTGGATCATTCCTCGTTTATTTCCTTCAGTGGACATCGACCTTCTTAGGGTTTCCATGGCATCTTGGTTTGTCTTGCCCAACAGGGATTCTCCATTTACTGCTATCAGTTGGTCATTCACCCGCAGCCTTCCATCCTGGGAAGAAAACAGGTAAAATAAGTGTGGTTAAATAGTCTGCTATAAAAGAAATTGCTTTCCCTTTAGTTAAAAAAAAAAAATTAAAACTAAACTAAAAATAGTGGGGGTGGGGGCTTTAATCCTAGTGGATTATGCCCAATTGAACACTAGCATAATGAAGTCTAAGCAGCCATTGTAGCCTGGGTCTATTTCAATCATTTATACATTTGTAAATCAAGTCATTATCATAATCTGTTTACCAAAATAGCATACTAATTCAAAAGACACAAAGTGATTACTTTCTTGCTTCCAGAAACACCCATAGAGATTATTTACAACCCAAGACATGTAAAAGCTCCAGGCGATTAGACAATTGCAGAGAAGTGCCCCCTTACCAAACAGCCAGGAAATTTTCTCTGCGCTGAGAAATAGAACAAGTGACCCACAAGCAGGAGGGGGAAGGCGAAAAGATTAACCTTTACTATATGCCAGGACCTATGGTAAGTCTTTGCATAGATTATCATCACTTAAGCAGCATGATTATGGGTTGTAGGTTCTGTGAGATTAAAAATGCAGAGTTGATATAGCATTAAGATTTCTCTTATTCGTTATTTGATCAGGAATGGGTTATTGTTAAAAAAAATTTTAAAATCATTCAAAAACATCTGTTAACTGAATATACTTCCCACACAGGATAGGAATGAAACATTTTTGTTAGTGAACATATACTTGATAAAGTTAACATGTGCTTACTTTAGATGCTGCTCCACCATTAATAATGGACTTGACGAAGATCCCCAAATCTGCATGGTTCTCTTTGGACCGGTTACCTTTGACACTGACACCAAGACCAGCAGATCCTGAATCATTAAGTGGAACTTCAAATGTAAGAAATTCCCTGGTGCCATCAGGTGTGAGAACAATATCTTCATCTTCTGCTTTCTAATAGGAGACAAAATTGCATAGCATTATATTCAAGTGTCTCTTTCTCACCATTATTGTTTTAAAGATTGCTAATGAGCAGTTCTTTAACTGCAGGCCCAATATTTCCACTAAAGCTCCATGACAAGATTCATGATAGCAGTGCATCTGCACCCCCTCCAGATGATTCCTGAAACCAGCTGCTAATATTTTCAGAAACACTTATTACAATATTAAAACAAACCTAAAGCAGATTCTGAGAAAAGGAAGTCGGGGGGCTGTGGAAAGACTGGAGGCATGGAGTTTCCTAGTGTTTTAAATTTACTTCATTAGCCTGTTTATATACTCTAAACCTCAAGAGAAAAACAGCAAAACAGAAGTAAAAATAAATAAATATAGTTCATTTGCCCCTTTTCTCTTTTTTGGCGGGGAAGGGGGACCAGTATCAGGGATTGAATTCGGGTGCACTCAACCATAGAGCCACATCCCTCTTTTCGTATTTTATTTAGAGACAGGGTCTCACTGAGTTGCTTGGCACCTGGCTTTGCTGAATCTGGCTTTGAACTCATGATCCTCCTGCCTCAGCCTTCAGAGCTGCTGGGATTATAAGCATGCGATATTGTGCCCAGCCACTTTTATCTTCATAATAGTAATTTGCAGTGTTATTAATAGCTCCATGTCCACAATGGTGTATCTTTTTTATTCACAACTATAATAAATCCTGATGACACAAAGTCAGCAGAAAAAAGAATTCAGGTTTAGAGACACTACAGAGTTTTAACCTTTGACACTCATGAGACAAAGTTTGCACCATGGGAAAAAGTTTGCACAATACTATATTATGAATACAGATGATGAATATTATCAGGAAACATTGTTTAATTGATTATTGTTTAATTAGTAATATATTAAGTATGAATTTCATAATCATAGTCACCAAGTACAAAAGACTTGAGCCAAGTTCTTTCTTCATATAACTCCTCCTCCTCTATTCCCAATTTTGAAACATTTCTTTAGTATCCAATTAGTCAATCAAACCAGATTTGCCAAATTATAATAGAAAAACAGTAGGCCTATGATGGTACGTAGTATCATTTAGAAAGACTGATCTTTTAAACAGTTTTCAACTATACAATAAAAGTTGTTAGAGAGAATGGAAAATGAATTGCTATCACTCTTCTTTACATCTTACCAGATTTTTTAAATTTTCTAAGAATTAGGATCAATCTAATAATGACAAAATTATCTTTAATGGGAATTTGGAGATTTCACATGTAACTTCAGATTCGTTGATTAGATTAAATAATTTTTGGATGTGCAGTACTTATCTGTAAAGATGTTTATATTATAATAAGCAATATGCTATTTTTAAATCTCCAAATCCTTAATAACGTCATTTGAAAAGTAATGTTTCTAATTTATTAATGTTTGATGTTAATATTTTATAGTAGGCCTTTTTCTTTTCTTTTCTGGTACTGGGGAATCAAACCTCACACAACAGACAAGTGATCTATCACTGAGCCACATTCCCAGACCCCAGTAGTACAGTCCTTGTGCCATCTCAAAGGATTGCCTGACAGTAAGGGGAAGAGAGTTTTCAATACAATATGCACTATTGTTTTGAAAACATGAGTACTATGTAATTAAGAATGAAGAACAAGTTGAAAAGATACAGGACAATAGCAATACTACCTATGCAGAAGAACCACATTTCAGCATCAAAATCCAAAGCAAGCATAACCTGCTCATTAGAAAAGCTTTTGTAGCTTTAAAATATTCCCTGAGAACAACTGTAACTCAAATAAAATCAATGTATTAGAAACAAAGATCAAATACTCACATGAAAATATCGATAACCTATCAAACGTTTATTATACAGAAGTAGCTTTATAAACATGTTTTGCTCTATAATCACAAAGGCACAATTTACTTTTTATTTCTAACCATACAGTTCAAAACCATGAAACAGTACTAAATAATGAATTTGTGTGAATGAATAGCAATACTTCAAGTTAAAATCTACTATAAAAACACACCAAATGGGACTGGTGGTGAAGCTTAGTGGTAGACAGCTTGACAAGGGAAGGGAGGGAGGGAAAAGGAGGAAGGAAACAAATCATGTGCAAGCATGGGTTCCATCCCCCGACACACATGCAAAATACATAAATACATAAAAATGTTTAAGAGTAAAATATACCACAAAGGTAAATTTTGTATTTGAAACACAAAATAGCATTAATAGCTTCAAACACAACACTGTCCCCTTCTACTTGAAATTCAGAAGTAACTGGAACATAAATTTACTTTGTAAATCAGTATTTTTGTTTCTGAAAAAAAGCTGAAATTGAAAAGACAGAGAGTCCTTAGATGAACACACTCAAGGCTCATCATTTATGTTTACTTGCCTCAAATCTAAAAGGTTTTTAATTATCACTTACATATGTGGATCTTTTGTTCTTTTTTCCCCACATTTACTGATTTTGACATTTCCTTAACATTTTACAGAGGCTTAAAATTCTTATTTTCTTGTACTTTAAAAATAAAGACAAGGAGCTGACTAAATATATGAAGGAAAATTTTAATCAAGTTGGAATTATTTCCCAACTGCCTTACTCTGAACCCTTTTAAAAGATGACCACATAATGCATGGAGTAGTTTCATTTATTATGAAAACTGCAATATGAGAATAATCTTCTTTTTCAGCCCTCTTTATCAAGTCTTAAGTCATTATTATCATTAAAAATGTTAAAGTGAGACACTGTATGTTTCATTTGATATTTCATTATTAATCCATTTGGCTACTGACATAAGACTGAAATTAATGCCAGCTTTTAGAACTTAATTCTCTGGCAGCAAAACACTAAAAATCTGCTCTGCAAAAGCCATCTGAAATGCTACGCTACTGAGAACTTTCACAATGTCATACTACTATAGGGATCTCTACCTTCCAAAATAAAGTAGAACCTAATTTTCTATCACTTTGTTATTTCCATCCACATTACGTACATTACCAACAGTTTCTTAAGCCAAGTTCTTTCTACAGACATGCAATATATGTGTTTTCCCTAATTTGCCCTTCAGTTTTTGTGTGTGGTCATATAAATCAAGCACATGTGTCATGGGTATCTCTCATGTACATACATGTAAGTATATCTTGAAAATTTGTGGGGGTTTTTTGTTTGTTTGTTTTAGTTCTGTCAGTTCTTCTTTTGCCCACTTATTCACTGACATTTTTGCCTTTTAATTACCAGCAAACAAAGGGCATTTTTGCTAAGCATGTAAGAAACAGGGACTCTCCTGGGTGGACATTATGAATGTTATTTACTTTCCCACTATAGTCAGAAAAGAAGAAAAATGTACATTCATACCCACAGTGAGACTGAAAAATAATCACAACTGGCCTCCACCATGGCCCAGTGTTCCTTCTTTCACCAACAACAGACCTAATATCAATGGGGACATAGCTGCCCAGAAGTGGCTCAGAGTGTATACTCAACCCACAGCACAAGCCCATCTAAAGAAAATGAAATGATAGTCAATTGTGTAAAGAGACAGAAAAATAATCACATGAAATAATAACAATCACAAAAATAATCAATCACATGATCTTGCTTGATATACAAGGATTTTGATTACCATGACAGGAGGCAAAGAAATATGTTCCAAATGCCATAAGACCATAAAATTACAGAAGTGACCACAGAATTTGATTTGAGGCTCTGCAAAGAAATAAATGACTCAGCAAATAATTTCTCTCTCTTCTATAACTCCTTGATCTCTCTCTCAACATTAGCCCTTCTCCATTGTGGAAGTTTATATGTAAAATATGGTATCCAACAATGTAGAAAGTGTGCTGAAGTGGGCACGTAACGTGATGTGCTGATGAATGTGTAAAAGGTACACTGTGGAAGCCAATTTGATAATAAAAGCCTCTCTAAGTTTATATGTTACCTAACCCCCCAAAAGGTTACTATTAATAATATAGCCTAAAAAACTGATCATCTACAAAGATTTATCAATGAGGATGATGAAATTATCATAGCTAAAAACTAAATAGACAACTTACATATATGGCACTAAGCAAATTCAGATATAACTACACAGTAGAATATCAATCAACCATTAAACTATCTTACAAACATATTTAGGGAAATTAAATGATATTTATGGCTAAGAAATTTTGTTTTATACTTTGAGTATTCATAATATCCAAGACATCACTATACTGATGGGGAAAATATATTCAGTTATTAATCTCAAATGTTTACCCAATAAAGTATTTATCTAAAGAAATATCAGATAAACACAAGCTGAGAGGCTTTCTTAAGATAATTTTCTCTTTAAAATTTAAATTTTACTTAAAGTAATTTGCTCTTAAAAATGAAACACAAAAACAAACTGAACAAATTTTTTGTATTAGAGACTTAAGTGACATGAAAACTAAATGCATATATAATATAGTTATATAAAAAAAGTCCTTTGGGGCTAGGGCTGGGGCTCAGTGGTAGGGCACTTGCCTGGCATGTGTGAGGCACTGGGTTTGTTTCTCAACATCTCATATAAATAAATAAAGGTTCTATCAACAACTTTAAAAAAGTATATATATATTTTTGAAAAGTCCTTTTTCTTAGGACATGCACTACACATAATCATTATGATTTCCTTAAAATCATAAAAATATCATTCTACTTTATTTTTTTTATTAGTTGCACATGACAATACAATGATCTTGACATATCACACATTTGAATCAAATGAGGTATAATTTCTCATTTTTCTGAGTGTACAGGTTGCAGAATCACATTGGTTATACAGACACGTATGTACATACAGTGTACATACTAGTGTCTATTTTATTCTGCTGTCCTTCCTATTCCCTCTTCTCCTCCCCTCCCCTCCCATCACTTCTCTCTACCCAATCTAATATGACACATTTCTTTTTTCTTCCCCTCACATCATCATACTGTATTTTGTATAAGATGAGGGTCTCTACTTTAATTTTGAAATAAGATTGTTTTAAA